GACGTCTACCTCTGGGTCTATGTGGACGATATTATTATCACTAATAAATAGGTTTAATATGTTCACACTTGGTTCATAAAATAGTTATGTGTCAACCTTGAAATAATTGGGAAATCTTAATTATTTTGCAGGCATCAAACAATAACAAAGCTTCTTGAGAACAAGGGCAGACTACGACCCACATAATCCTCGAAAAATATCTTTTCCTATATGCGAAAATAGAAAACTACCATCACTTAAATTAAAGATGCCTAAGTAATAATTTTGGTCCTTTAAATTATTTTGCTCCCTTCAAATTTTTGTTATATTTTGGTCTTTAGATTATAAATATTAGACACTTGAATCATTTAAATATTTTTCATGTCATTTTGACCTCTTAAATTATATTTCACTTTATGAAAAAGACATTGATGTAAAAAATCAAAATGTTTAATATTCATAACATTAGGAACCAGAGTCGTCTCAAACTTGTGTGAGGCTTTGTGTAAGAAGTTTAAGTTAGTTTCAGTTTAGTCATGAAATATTTTTAGGGGCCCTATTTAACCATAAATTAACAGTTGAATATGTTTTTGGAGGCCTTTTAGCTATAGCTTAATCATAAAAAGTGTGAGGCCCTGTGTTGTAGGTCACCTTGCATACCCTCAAAGGCGACATTGTTAGGAACACATGTATTTACTTTTATAATTTAAAAGATTAAAATTAAATAATTTTGGCTTAAATGCACTTTTGGTCCCCTTAGTTTGAAGTTTTTTAAATTTTAGTCCCCTCATTTTAAAAATCAATTTTTTGGTCCCTGAACTTTACTTCCCTTAAGACTTTCATGGTCTCCTTCCACTTTTGTACACTTGGCATACTCATTAATGATGTAGCACGGTCACAGTGGGTCCAAATCAGATAATATTTCATTTTCTAAAATTTAAATTAGGAATTTTTTATTTTTATAATAATTTTAATTGAAATTAATTTTTTTTAATTGTATTTAGAAGGAACCTAGGTAAGAAGAACTCATATTCTTTCATTCTTACCCATAACTCTAGTGTTTGTAAAAATTGAATCTTCTTTGCCAATATTATTTTCACATGACTATTGGAATCAAATTAACGGTGTTCTACTTGACTGATACTGTCATTATTAAACTAACATAGTAAAAAACACATAAGAAAATAAACACAATTTGTTTCAGATCCGCGAACCACTTTGTACCACTGCTCCGCCGCTGCTGCAAAACCACCCATATTTCCACCTGAGCCACACCCAAAGTCACTGGATGCCACTGTAAAATTGCAGACGGAGCTTGCTGGAAAACCACCATTCGTTTTCAATTCAAGCAACCACACCACTTGGTTTTGACCACTGCACCACTACAAATTTATTAACGCCCTTCACAATATCTCACTCTCTCACAACGTACTATTTTGTCAGTGTTTTAGTTCTTTTTCCTCTATGGATTTTGCACTGTGTTAGTTTGATATTGGCAAGGTATTTATAGTGAGAAAAAGGTGTGTATGTTCGAGAATAGAGGAGGTTGAAGGAGATTGGTGATAGAGGTGATGCGTGAAAATTGTGATGGAAGAGTTACTATATTTTTCCCTCTGTATAAAACCAAGTGACTTGTTAAAAGTTGTTGTGAATCTTGAAATTTCACTTCAGTTTCGCAAGTTAAGATTGTTGAAGATTGTTGTGCATTCAATTTAGAACTTTACCAGAAGTATCAATGCCATATTGATTCTTATACTTAAGAATTTTTCTTCCATTGACTTATGGGTTTATATTTTACACATATTATATTATTTAAAATTTAATAAATTTTTTTAAATAAATTAAAAATGTTTTGTAAAATAAAATATAAATAAATGTCATTAAAATATTAACAAATGTGACATGGATCCACAATGACGTTGTCATGTCATTAATGAGCAAGCCAAGTGTGCGAAACTGGAGGGGGACCATGGAAATCACAAGGGAAGTAAAATTCAGGGACCAAAGAAATGATTTTAAAATAGAGGGACTAAAATTTAAAAAACTTCAAACTAAAGAGGGACCAAAAGTGAATTTAAGCTAATGATTTTTTAGGACCAAAGTGTATAAAACTTGTACGTTATGAGACTAAAATGAAACTAAATAAATTATGACTCTCCTAAGCAATTTTGTGAACTTTTGTTGTTGACATCAAGTTTTTAGAAGCCACTTATCACTATAATTGACAACCGAAACCAACTAAAATGTTGGTTTGTAATAACATTAAAACGGTGTAAATAAGGGTCAACATATGTTACTTTCATCTCTAGTTTATGATACTAAGAAAATGATGATTTCTTTCTCATGAGATTCATCATGATCTCATATGAAGGGATTAAACTAGTTGTCATGGGACAAACATTCTATGCATAAGAACGTCCGAGGTATTAGCCTTAAAAATTTCAATGCTTTCAATCTTGATTTTCTTTGTAAACATGGATGACATATACTCACAAAATATAACAATAATATCTCCTATTTATTTAAAGCGCACTACTTTCTACATATCGTTTTGTTCACTTTGAAGTTGAGAGCATAATCCTAGTTTTACACAACTTAGTATTTGTAGTGCAAAGTTTATCTTTAAAAAAGGAAGCAAATGATGCATAAGAGATGATTTAGATATACTTGTTTTTAATGAGAAGTGGTCCATTGACAAATCTATTATTTTCTAACACGTCATCAACTTAGTGCTCTAAATTTTTTTTTTTTGGCTGATGCTTTATTAGCGCATAACAAGAGGTGGAACTCTCATATAATTAAAACAATCATTGATCCAATTAGTTTAGACAAAATTCATAATACATCACTTTTTAACTCGATTATAGAAGATATGTGAGTTTGAAAACTAAAGATTAATGAGTATTATTTGGTTAGAAGTGTCTACAATTGAGTGGTTCTCTCCGATATACAATGTCTGGGTGAACAGAGCTCTTGATTTACTTTCGACTCTTAACTAGGTATAGGACATGTGGAGTTTGAATCAAATGTTAACACATGTACATTTTTAATTTCTCTAAAAAGGATTATACAAAATTTTGTGACATTATTAATTATTGTAAAAACTGTTTTTTTTACACATTTTAACAACCCTAGTGTGTAGTTTATTAAGAGACAAGCGAATAAAATTATCCATAATCTAACTAAGACGACCTCATCTTTGCCTGCCTCCTAAATTTTTGGTAAAAATACTATATTGTATTAAATATATTCTTTTAATGAATAAAGTATTATAATTTTTGCTTTAAAAAAAAATCGACATATGTATAGATGATTACCCCATTCATTATAACAAAACTATAATAAAAAAAAAAAACACTTAGAGTCGATGTTTTATATTTTTTACTCAAATCTTATTAGAATTAGTATAATTTTATAGGTGCTAAAAATATTAATTAGAATGATGTACGAAATTAGAATTATTATTTTCTTTTATTGAATAAAATTAAAATCAGTATCATTTTTTCATCATCAAAATTTTAAAATTGATTTATTACTTTTTTTTATTTGTTATTATAAATTTTTAATTTTTACTAAAAGCATATACAATCTTTTGAAATCTTATAAATTATTAAAAAAAAATAGAAATCTTAAAATTTTGAGCTACAAATCTATTAAAATCCAAATTTAAAATTCTAGTTGTAAAAAATATTCAAAAGAAAATCTCAAAAGTTAAAACTTTAAAGTTTTTAAAATTTTTAATGTTTCTTTTTTCTTTTCAAAAAACATCTTATTAATATTTAAATTTGATCTTGCCTGATCAGAAAGGAATCGTTGGCTGCCACGTGTCTTCGACTTGTTGTCTGTTCACCGATATTGAGGAAGAGGAAGGGGGTGTACCTGCAAGACACTCCGATGCTAAAGTAAGCGTATGGGCAGAGTGATCACAAGTACAGAAAAGGGGTAAGAAGTGAATTACCTGACCCTCTTGTGAAAGAGGGTATTTATAGAGAGACCCCAGCGCTGGGCCAACGGTCACTTGTGTTGGGCTGGACTGTCAGGCCCAACCCAGGTGACTGCTAGGGCTTACGTGGCGTAGTGAAGACCAAGACGTGGTCTTTACCCTAGTCCAATTGTCCAGTGATCTCCGGAAAGTGGGTTTGACCTGCTCTTTCGGAGGTGGGCAGTTGGTCGGTGACGTGTCCCCGCGGAAGGGAGCACGTGGGGAACATGTGAAGGACACATTGTCCTGCCCGACAGGGGAGCGGGTTCTGCCCGCGGAGAGGGAAGTGTCTGGTCAATGGACGAGTCTTGTGCTCGACACAGATGAGACAGATTCTGTCCGCGGAGGGACAATACCTGTCCGTCGGGGACCTTGTGCTCGAAGGCTGCGGGCCAAGCTAGACTGATCTTGGCAGAATATTATTGGGCTGGGTCTGCCTGGCCAAACCGGGCCCCAGGCCTGAACAAAATTCAAACACTCCTTACACTCTTTAAGAATAAGTTTTTTTTTAATTGAAAAACTATCATCACAGTAACAAGGGAAAGAACCTATCACCTTGAGTTGAACTAGTCATCACCATTGAATTTTTTAATGATTGGAAATAAGAGATAATTTCAAAAAGAAGAAGAAAATGTATAAGAAATTTTAAAAAGTTACTGAAAAAAAAGTAAAAGATTGTTATATTTTCTAAGAATTTCAAAAAAATAAAAAATTGAAGTAAAATATTGAAACGTGTGTTCGTTCCGTAACCTAATTAATATCAATCCCCTTTCTTCCTACTGATATATGAAATTGCTTTCTTCTCCCTTGAATGAATGAAACCCAAACTTCTAACTCTGTAAACCTCCAACGACACCGTTTTGCTATCAAAACGACGCTGTTTTCCTCGTCTTCATCGTCATAGTCGTCGTTTTCATTCGGCAAGTAATTCCTCAACTTTTCTACTCACGATTTCGTTTTCTATTATTTTTATATCAATTTTCATCTTCTTCATCGTGATTTTCAATCCAATAACAACGTTGACTTTTGTTTTTCAGAAATGGAGCAAGCGGTTTTGGATGACATAATCAATCGGCTCCTTGAAGTTCGTAGCCGTCCCGGGAAGCAGGTTCAGTTGTCGGAGGCGGAGATCCGTCAGCTGTGTGCGGCTGCCAGAGAGATTTTCTTGCAGCAACCTAATTTATTGGAACTTGAAGCTCCTATTAAGATTTGTGGTGAGTTTTCTTCGTTTTTGTAGGTTTATTTTGAACTGGGTATTGTTATTTTATTGCTTTGTTTCATGATTTTGCGTTTTAGTATGGATTATGATGATCTGTTTTAGAATATGCTAACATTTTGCTTGTTTTTTTTGTTGTTGTTTCATTATTTTTGTGGTGTTATTTTGGTATTCTGTGCGTGGTTACAGATTTACTGCCTAATTGTAAGTGTTTTTTGGGGTATTTGTATTGTGTATGCTTGCTTATGAGTGAGTGTGTTATGTAGACTGTATAAGTAACAAAGTTTGTGGGAGATAATTTGAATTAAGCTTGTCTACTGCTTTCTCCTTTTCTTGATATTAAGAGAATGGAAGTTGTTAATAGTAGTTACTTAGAGATAAGTTGTTTAGTTGTTAATTGTAAGGCTACATAAGCTTAAGTTAGCATTAGATTGTTTTCATATTTTTCAATGAGTTTTGATTTTATGATTAATCTCTCTCACACACACATTCTTCAAACCATAATTTTATGGTATCAAAGCTCCATCGATGGAGCTCATATCTTCCACACTGCAGCCTGCTCCGTAAATGAGTCTTTCCAACAACATGTGTTTATCAAAGGCCAGGATATAACCCAATTTCCACGGTTGCAAAGCCCAACTTTTTCTTCATAGCTCATTGGCTCTATGGCTAAGGCACCACTCAAGTGGGTGACTTCTACAATAAACAAAGCCGGACAAGCCAAATGAATAAACTCTGACATCAGAACAGTCCTCTGTTGTATAACTTGTTCATCACTTATGCACTCCCATGTCCTTCCCTAATTTTGACCACCCCTCAGCACTCAAGACTGCAAAGCCGAGCTATGGTGGTTGTCACACCAACATATATTTTAGCTTTGCAATGATTACACCCGTTTTAGTGTTGCTGCGTTAGTGTTTTTCAGCCCAAATCACAAGCCCATGTTGGTGTTCCTCTAGGCTTTTATCTGACGGTAAGCTCTGATCTTTGTGCCTCAAATCGGTGGTAAGAGAGGCTTCATTGTCAATTCGGTTTTGTTGCTTCCTAAGAGTATCTCTGTCCTCTACCTACCCATCTTAGCAACTGCTACTTTGTTTTTATCCCAATTGGGGGCTCTGTATTATCATATAGTTCAAGCATTGTGCTAACATTGATTCGTGGGAGGGAGTATAATGAAGCTCCAGTTTTCAAAGGATCTGGAGTAGCTACACAAGTCATGGCTTCAGGGGTTTTATGTGACACAAAGGTACCATTCAAGTTGAAAGAAATTTTTTATCGGACTGCGATAAGGCATGCGACATTTTATGGGACATAATGTTTGAAGGTTAAGAATCAACACGAAAATAAAGCAAGTGTAGCAAAGATGAGAATGTTGCGTTATATGTGTGGTAAGACCATACATGATAAGATTAGAAATGACAATATTGGGTAGCACCTATAAAAGAATGATGAGATTGTGGGTGGTTTGGGCATGTAGAAAGAAGACCTGTAGATTCCGTGGTAAGGAGAGTAGATTAGATGGAGAGAGTCAAATAACTAGAGGTAGAGGAAGACATAGAAAAACTATAAGCCAAGTTATTAATAAAGATCTTGAGATTAACGATTTGGTAGAAGCATGGTTCTGGATAGAACATTATGGCGAAAGTTGATCCATGTAGCCAACCCCACTTAGTGGGATAAGGCTTGGTGGTGGTTGTTGCTGTTGTATAACCCAAACTCAGATTGAAGGATTCCTTTATCCTGATTTTACGGGAGCCATAGGCATAAGGATGTAATATTACGAGAATAAGAGTTGTTAACGTTAGTTAATTTGTTACAACTTAGTTAGATAAGTTGCTAGGTTGTTGTTAATTGTAGTGCTATATAAGGACAAGCTGCATCGGGTTGTTTTCACTGTTCTCAATATGAATTTTATTTGTGTGATTAAGAGATCTCTCATTTCCTTCCAACCACAGATATTTTCGCCCTGATGTGGATCTCTTAGTATGTCAATTAAGAGGTAAAATTATGATGTGATAGCTGATTTGTGTGAAGAAAAAGACATTGATGAAAAATCACGTGTAGTAATGTTAAAGTGGATGAGGCAAAGCTTGTTTCCAGCATATGTCCCAAGGTGAAATCAATTGACCATTGTACATAAGTCTGTCTTGACGAGATACAGTCGTGGCAGTACTTCTCATCTCCATTGAAAGTTGAACCTTGCTAGCCTTTTGCCTGTTTCTTGCCTCTTTCCCCTTTAGTTAAAATTATCAAATACTTCAACCCTTTTTCTTTTTATGCTTTTCAATTGAATTAAGACTTATTAGACCATGTTTTGTTCATGTCTTCCCTGAGTTATTTTACCTCCACATAAGAATAAGGGTTGGCTGATGATGCTGGTGAAGCTTATTCTATAGAAAAAGGCAAACCTTACACTCAGTATTCAGTATTCTTAAAATCAAATTCTTGGATCTATCTCTTTTGTTTTATGAAATAATTGATAAAAGGGCTGTATCAATTGTTCTCCTATTTGATTATTTATTTTACACTGAAATGTAGTGCCGGAGAAGAACAATGTTATCACTTTGAAGCAAATAAAAGCATTAGATGCAAACTAGGCAGTTAATCGCGGCCAATAGTGCTGTGGCCGCCGGCTGCCACGGTAAAGCCCAAAGAGCCGCGTATTACATACGCTCTCACAAAGAACTGGTCACCCCGTGGTATTGTGTGTCATGTCCGTTATAATGAATTCAAAGTAAAACCCCTATATGCCCTTAAAATTGAGACGTTTGAGGGAGTATTCTTGATATTTTGCATGCTAAACCCTACCCTACACTCTTCTTTTCATTTCTTCTCTGCGACGCCCTTTGATTACTTCCTGCTTCCTTCTTTGCTGCGTCTCTTACTCCGCTGTTTCTTTCTGCCCTCGTTGATACTCGATGTGAATCCTTCTGTCCCAATGAACTGTTTTTTTTTCATCCTCTTTCCAGTCTTCTGTTTCTCTGATTTATTACCTCCTCTGTTCTGCTTAGTCGTCCTCTGTTTCTCTGATTTTCCTTGCATTGTTTTGAACTTCTGGCTTCCCCTCAAAACCCTCTGTATGACCCCTTGCTTTCTTTGTTTTCTTGACTTTTGTTAGCGTTTAAATGTATTTTTGACTAAAACGTGAGCCTTTTTTTACTATGAGTATTTCTTGAGTTTTGAGTTATTTGTTTAACTTCATATTAAATATATTATATTTGTTTATAGCACTATTCACGTAATTTGTCAAAAATATCAAAAAGCGGCCATCTCACGGCATGCTATCCCACTTTTACTGTTGGCCCCTTTGCGCCACTATCCGGGATTGACTAACTAGGATGCAACTTGAAATCTGTGGCCTAGCAGAAATACAGCGGCCATCTCAGGCCTAGCAGAAATGATGAAGGGAATAATCAATCCATACTATCCTAGAGCATAGCTCCTCAGAAAATGTAAACTTCTCTGCCTAACAGAAATGATTCTCTCTTTACACCCTTTTCTCACTCTTCCCTTCCTCTTATAACTGAATGGTCACAACACTTGCTCGCTCCTCAACTCCTTCGACATCACATTCTTTCCCTTCAATTTCCTATATTCTTCTAACATCACACTCCACAAATGGGCTTAGACAACTGGTTTACTAATTGTGTATTTGGGTCTACATTCTCATTTGGGGTCCTAATAGATTCCAAGGTTGAAACTTTAAACTTGAAATACAGCCCTCTGCATTTATGCTCGACTAGGTTTTTAGCTCAAGTACTGTTGTTTTTTTTTGGTGGAGGACAAAATGAAGCAAACAAATCTGTTTGGAATTGTTTAAAGTCTCACATTGGATGAGATAACCTAAATTCAAAGACGGTTATCAAAGCCTTTTCAAGATCCATTAAACCACCTGCTATTAGGTCACCACTATCAGACCACTTGGGTCACACTCTAGATTTACAGTCCCGGGCGTAAGAGAGGTGAGTTAAGAGTCTCACGTTGGATGAGATAACTCAAGTTCTAAGAAATTTTCAATGCCATCTGCCAACATATATTGCATGCAAATTACCAATGACCTATTAAGTGTATAATCAAACTTAAAAATCAAGTTTCAAAGTTGAGAAAATTTCCTTCAAGATGCTAAAGACATCCGGTAAGAACGAAAACCAATCATGGAGTATTGGCATTGCTTTCCTTTTCTTTTTTTAATTCTTTTTTTTAATGTGCTATTTTTTCTAATAATTTTTCTTCTTGAAATATGATTCTTGGTTGCTCAAAGTTGGTTGATGATTTTATATTCACGAACTCATAACAGTTCTGTAAGTATATTCACGAACTCATAACAGTTCTATTAGAAGCAATTATTTGAAATGATAACATTGTGAGTGAAACTATATTTTGGCTCTAAAATTGTAGGGTGTTTTCATGTTAATCTCTGAAATTAAGAAGGTAACATCCGTCGTTCTGGACTAAAATGAATTACAATCTACAATTTTGGAGACATTTGTTTGCTAATTTATTAATTTCTAGGACCAACATGCTAGCGTCTTACAAATCCTGAGGCTAACTTTGTGCTTCATTCAAATTCTAACCATAATATCTTTCATGTACGATCCACTATGTAGTATTTGGTGAATGAAAACTATACACTGACCTGGTATTCAAATGCTACTAACCTGAGTCGACGTAGGTGAACCTGTTTACGGGGATAAAACTCTTCTGTTGCCTATTTTTTTCTTTGACAAGATTCAAACATGAAACTTGCTTTAGGGGGAATTAAACCCCATGTCACTACGACCAACGGAAGTTGGTGAAGAGTATATACTAATGAGTTCAAATGGTAATTTTGCTAGAAGCAGTTATTTATAAACGGAGAAGTAAAAATAAGTGGAAAGTAGGACCTAGCAATATAAAAGGCTGCTTGAATCTGATGTAATCCATGTGCATGACATGGTTTTGGCACATGAATTACAAAGATCTCCATTTATAGGTGGAAAATAGGACCTAGCAATATAAAAGGTTGCTTGAATCTGATGTATCCGTGTGCATGACATTGTTTTCGCACATGAAAAACAAATGTCTCCATTTATATGAACATAATCCATCTATTGTAGTCCCTGGTATTATCATCACTGCATCGTATTTTGTTTTTTGAATAGAAAGTATCTTATTTGTGGAATAGTTTCTGAATATCTTTTTGTTGATCTTTCAGGCGACATACATGGTCAATATTCTGATCTTCTAAGACTTTTTGAGTATGGTGGATTACCTCCTCAGTCTAACTACTTGTTTTTGGGTGATTATGTGGATCGAGGGAAGCAAAGTTTAGAAACAATATGTCTTCTCTTAGCATATAAAATAAAATATCCTGAGAATTTTTTTCTTTTGAGGGGAAACCACGAATGTGCTTCTATTAACCGTATATATGGATTTTATGATGAGTGTAAAAGAAGGTTCAATGTAAGGGTATGGAAGGTGTTTACGGAGTGCTTCAATTGCCTACCTGTGGCAGCTCTCATTGATGAAAAGATTTTGTGCATGCATGGCGGACTTTCTCCCGACTTACATAATTTGGATCAAATTAGAAATTTACAGCGGCCGACTGATGTGCCAGATACAGGTTTGCTTTGCGACCTCCTGTGGTCAGACCCTAGCAAAGAAGTTCAAGGTTGGGGAATGAATGACAGGGGAGTGTCATATACATTTGGTTCTGATAAGGTCTCAGAGTTTCTTCAGAAACATGATTTGGATCTTGTTTGTCGTGCTCATCAGGTTAAACTTTTGCCTTTGCTTCTCAATATGTTGCTGGGTATTCAGGGTTGAGTTTGTACCCCCATTTCTATTTCTATGATATGAAAACGAAATATACTTCAAGCAATCCTAATCTTTCTCAGGGTTATTTTAGTTACTTTATTTATACAAACTTAGAGTTATTCTTTGACACATTTTTGCATTAGGATTAGAATCTCCCTTCAAATGATTTATTAGCTATGTATGACACTCCATTATGTACATTCCTGTATTGGTATTAAAGAATAGTAGATCTCAATTATCTGTGCTATTAAATTTAAATTGCATTATTATCTTTTTACCAGGTGGTGGAGGATGGATATGAGTTCTTTGCTAATCGACAGCTTGTTACAATATTTTCGGCACCTAATTACTGTGGGGAGTTTGACAATGCCGGTGCTATGATGAGTGTTGATGAGACACTGATGTGCTCTTTCCAAATATTAAAGCCAGCTGATAAGAAAGGAAGGCTCACTTTCGGAAGTACAACAACTGCTAAACCAGGAAACTCTCCAGCAGGTGTAAAGGTAGGTAGATAGTTTAATATTTGCAGATGAAATACATGCACAAAATTAGGAGAAACATATTTTATGGTATGTGAGCCAGAAATATTTATTTATTTGTGAAGTTTAACCGTCAGTGTGTTGGCAATTCCATGCATCTTGACATTTTCTCTCTCGTCTAGCTGGGACTCTGATTTGTCTGTGTATTATGGAGCATATATTAAATTAGATAAATGTATGGTCATTCTTCTAGAATTTGGTTTGTTTTAAAAAATAATTAAAGAAATAAGTGCTTATCATGACAACACAGAATTAGGAGATAAGGTGACTTTGTTGAAGCAACTTTTTGCTCTTCTGTGATTTGTTTCATGATAAATATTTTTCCAGTGAACAGTAATGATCTGTATGTGCAAGAAAACATTTGGGGCATTGAATTTAGCAATGGAAAAAGCTACATACATGGAGATTCTACTGAGAACTCTGAAGCAGCCGAAGCCATTGGGTGAATCAATTGTTTCAAATGCGCCCAAACTGTATTCAGATACTGTTGCATTCATTTTTTCTTTCAGTATGAAGATCTTTTGCTAAACAGCAGAGCTCTTGAGCAATTTCATCATCAATCAGTTAATATAGATAATTGCTATACTGCGCGAGTTTGCATCACTATTGTCCATGTTTTATATTTTTTACTTATTCGTGTTGATGTGTTTGCAAAATATATTTCTAAGTTCCGGCGTTTCTGCTTCCTTGCAGTCCTTCCTTGGTGCGAAAGTATGAAAGTTGATTTTGGCGAAAAGGTTGCTGTCACAACTGGTCTGCGAAGGAAAGTTGTGTTCCGTATGTTATTTTGGAATTGTAAAAAGGGAAATGCTGTCATGAACCATGCAGACCATTGTTTTTCACTGTTCCAAATTTGTATTGAGATTTAGCAGCCCATAATCTCTTCCATGTTTTCTTTGTACACTAATTTCTGGTATATTATGAGTTTTAAGCTTCTCAAGCATTCTTTGACATATGTGCATCTGCTGCTGAAATTAAATGAAATGCTCATGTACGATTGGTATGTGGGTGGAAGTTGAGAATAAAGCATGAGATTAATTGATATGCATTGAAAATGCAACTTTTTTATAAATGAGATTAACCATTCTGGCATTTTGTTCTTTTAATTATTAAATATATCAATAATGGTGAAATTTAATTCGACGCACGAGTAAAGAAAATTACACCAAATGTGCAAATAATTTATTTTGAAAAAGGGTATATGATTGAATATCCATATTACTTTTTCTTTCCATGGTCTCAGATTTGTTTGCTACATTATGAATCATAATTGTTCTTCAAGGAGGTAAAGTTGGTTAAGGTCTTGGTGATTAAGCTAGCAATTTTAGAGACATTTAAAGAGCTTATTTTGAAGTTATCTTATAATATAAATACTTGTGTAACTGTTTTAAAAAAACTTGTAAAATAAATCCCAGTAAAAAAAACATGTAAAATAACTACTATTTGTTTTCAAGGCATTTTTGTAAGTGTTTCAATAATAGTTTATTTAGGCAGACTAATAATTAGTTGTTGAGCTAATATTGTACTATTTATTAAATTAGTTGAGTTATCAAACTTCCCAACATGTATAAAATTTAGAGAGTTTTTCATCACATAACCACTTATTCGATGACACTTAATTAGTTTGTTTATTTATACAATTACTTTATAAAGCACTCATGTCATAGCTATTAAGCCACAAATCTGACACCTCATCTTGATACTCATCTCTTATTATTTACCTCTATCAAAATTAAATTAGAGATGTTAATTGGTTTGGACAAATAGAACCAACTATAATATTTGAATTGTGGTATTTCTCAGTTCGCCTAAAAATTGAACTAATGAAATTCAATGACAATTGGTTTGTACATCGGATTTTTAATGATAATCATTATTAATTCTCGTAAAAAAAGTGAAGCGCCGAAGTTATGCTATTTTAATTTATTATCGGAAAATTGCCAGTGTGCTATTTTAACCGAACAGAGTTATGAAACACCTTCGTTATCAATATGTGACTAATTGCATATTTAAAAAGCTTGTGTTGCATGTTTTTTGTTAGATATTTTTGAATTTATTATGAAAAATTGTTAGTCTAATATTTATAACTAAACACAATTAATGCTAAATTTTTATAGTATTATAAAAAATATTAATTGGTGTAAATAAGTTATTTTTTAAATATAATTTTGTATATTTTTAATGAATATGATAAATCCAATTCAAATCAATCCGTTGTTTCTTGGTTTGATTTGATTTGAATTTTATCGATTTTTTTTACAAATTCAATTCAAACTAATCTATATATTTTTAAACGGTTTGAGAATTAGATTCTCTTGAGACCGAAACAAACTGACCCACAAATACTTCTAATTAAAATTTACTTTAAAAAATAGTGAAACAAGAAATTCCTGATAGTATTAATTAAAAATTTGGCAAATTTTTATTCACGAAAGAAATGTCTCTTATGTTAACACTCAACAAAAATAGATAATAATGGAACGTCAAAACGGTGAACGAACAACCAACCAATAATAGTAGGCCAACATCAACAACAATTACCCTAACCTAATCAGATAATTGCATTGCTGAAAATTTCTTCAACTTCGATTCATTGAAGACCTTCAATGAAGCCAGTCATATAACAAATAAAACATTAATTTTCATTTGACTTTAACCAATAATAAATTAAAACAACTTAAATTTAAATATTTATATTTCTCCCTATCATAATTTAAAGGCAACATGATCAACATATTCAATGAAAAAAAGTATATCTCTCCTCTGTCTGTCTGCTTATCATCATGATCTCTAGACCGACCAACTCTACCTCTTTTATGTTAGAGAGTACACGGTCCACGAGACTACTAAATCCACCTATGATGAAAATAGATGAAGACTACTATATCAACCATACTGTGTAAATAATTGTCTCCATCATCTCCGTCGTTTTCACCAAAGCTCTGTGCAATAGATCTTTCGCTCAATTTATGTAATGATTTTACCATCTATTCTCCTCATTAATCACATAAATAAAAAAAATTATTAACCTATCGAATTTCTTATAAAAATGACCACACTCCTACTTATACCTAATTTGTACTAAGAGCATCTCCAATGGCGCTATCTATCTTTAGATTCTTTGTGGGATCCATTGAACCACATCATCTTAAAACAACTCATCTAATTTTCACTCCAATGATGCAACCCTAAAGAACTCATATTGAGTTCCACAATTTTACTTTATATATTAATATTTTATTTATACTAAATAAATTTTAATTTTAATTAATAAAATATTTAATAAATAAATCAATCAAATTAAACTTAAAATTCAAAATAATAATTAAAATAAAAGTAGTATAACATATAATCTGTTAAAATCAATATTTAAAGTAAAATCAATATTTATGAAAAAATAAATTATTTATAAAATTAATAATATAAAATAAATTTAATAATAAATTATTTATAAACAAATAATCTGTTAAAAAATTTGAAAGAAAAAAAAAGTAGTATAATATTGTTAATTTTAATATTAATTTATTCATTATGTTAAACTGACTCTGGCCAACTCTAATGGATCCCAAAAAACAAGAAACGTTTGCCACCTTAAAAAAATTAATTAAAAACTTTCATTGGAGTTACTCTAAGCACCTGACTAAATCTAACTTATTAAACTTCATTTTTAGAGCTTAAGTTTTAAAAATACTGTGTAAATGTAAAATTTGTATTCTTAAAAATGTAAAAAGAAATAAGGAATAACTTTTTTTTTTATAAATAAAAAATAATTATTTTCTATAAAAATAAGAAAGATAACTATTTTCGATAAAAAATAATAATTGTTTTATGTATAAAAAAGATAAAGGGTTTATATGATGATAACTATATAAAATAAGTTAAAAATATCAAACTATTTATATATATTTTTTTTGACTTTGTTGTATATTAAAATAAATATTTTTTAATAGGTTAAAATAAATTTATTTTAATATAAATAAATTTTTAAAACATTTTTTCCTTCTTTTAAAAAAATTTCTCTTTGAATTTAGTCAAGTTTTAAACATCATTGATTTGAAGAACCTTGTATACTAGCAATTGGTAGGATATAATTCGTTCAGTCATATGAAGGCCATGCCTTGAATTTTAGCATGGTCAAATAATTTTAATTTGAAAGCAAAGAAAATGAAACCATCTCTAATAATTTTTATTTAAGACATGGCCTACAAACAGTGAGAGAATAATTATATGTCAAATCCTCTCTTCGTTGTCGACCAACCAATCTGATGTTTTAGATGTTACATAATTTTGACTCTAACAATAATTTAATACCCTTCAAACAAATATTCTTAACTGCTATACTATACAAAAACGTATTACATAAATTTATATTTTTATTGACTAGATAAATATAATACTTCTAAAATCTAACATGTAAAATACTAGTTGTAATACATTCTTCATCAAGTATATCAAGGGTTAAAATATGCAGATACTCTTTTTTAATGTTTTTTGAAAGTGATATATTTTATAAGGAAAATGAAATTATTGGTGCCATCGTCATTACTTCATTTTAAATTGGAAAACATCATGGCTCAGCCCATAGTTTTGGTTTTAATTATAATTTTAATTAATTTGTTGGTGTGTGTTTGATGCATGACACTTGAAAGAAAAATGCGGAAAATGAGCTGTGTCATTTGTTTTTGGTGACTAATAAGAATGAGACTTGTGATGTAGTTTCATTCATTCTCACTATTTTTGAAGACTCAAAGGTCAAGAACAGAGATATAAATGATATGAATAATTATAAAGATCAATCATTTAATTGATTTAGTATATTTTTATATTAGAAATAATTAGTTTATAAAGTGACAGCTGTCGCTCGAATTATATATGTTCAAACTTCAAATTCATTTTTAGACAAAATTAGTAGGACACTTGTGGCACTTATAAAATTGAACTCTAGCGTGGCCCAATAGGAAAAGGTCTAATGGATGGATAAAATTTAGTAAATTTTTATATATTTTCTTTTAAATTTTTTAATAGATACAGGTATTTCTAAAATCAATCATTTAATTTTTAACATGCGTGTATCATTATCTCATTTCTGAATTATATCTGTTATATTTTATTGATCACGTATATTTAATTGTTTGTTATTGATTTAATTCTAATAATTGATATGAAGGTTAAGTTTAAAATTATCGTATTGAAATTTATATTTGATTAATTTTGCATTATTTCTACTACAAATAATTCTTATAACGTCGCACGCGAAAAATATGTAACATTGGCTACCACACCGACGTAACGAAGAATGACATGAAAAGTTGCCACTTAACACCTCATTTAATGAAATTTGAGGGATAAAGTTATATGATCATGTGTTTGAACCTCAACATCTACATTTTTATTATTTACACAAACATGCCTCGTACCTCTCTGTTTCTTTAAAAACCGAGAACTTAGATAGTTTTTTTTTTCTTAAATAAAACTTATTACATTATTTACACAGAATATTAATAAATTAGTTTGTTTACAAACTATATTGTTTACACAAAAAATTAAAGTAAAAATGTTATTCTTCATCGTCATCGTTGTCGGTGAAGAACATATATATACTGGATATCTTGGAGAAGATCAAATGTTGGAGATCCTCGTTTCATAGATCAAATGCAATATATTTTTTTTTATGATTTGCATTCATGCGTTTCTGATATAAAAAAAAGTTAGCTAAA